GCTAGGTATGAGTGGGCTAAGGTCCTTTGCTCCACTGGGGGATAAAAGACAAAAGAAGAACAAGAAAGTATCAGTTTTAGATTATTGAAAACAGGCATGACAACTGTTAAACTCTGTTTTCAAAACCATACTAGAGGGAAATGTTCAATGCAAGCAAGCAAGAGAAGACAAAGACTGAAATATGAGAATAAGGTCAAAAGATGGATGACAGTGTACATTCAGGTCAAAAGACAAGGCATGTAAAAGATTCATTACAGCAAACCTTCATATTGTAGATGGCACCTGATTGATTGATGGATGACAATTACCGGATGTCATCATGTCCCTTGATTATATATTTCCATAGATCCCAGTCCTTTGAGTTCTAGATTTTTGTTCTGATTGTATTTAACCATTCTTTCTTCTTGAGTGGCCTGAGTAACAGTTTTATTCACTTTTTGTGTGTGTGCTAGGTTCAGCTATACTGTCTATCCACGTTTTCTTTGGTCCTCTTTCCTTCCACCCCAATATATTGCTGCAGAATTTACAATCTGGTCTGGCTGTAGCTTACGAGATAGCTGAACCACATCACTGTCGGTCTTTAGATATAATTTAGGCACAGAATCATGCCAATCTTCTCTCTAAAGCTGGTGTTCATGACCTTGTCCCTTCTGGTGCTGGTGACCTTTCAGAAATTCACTAATTATTTATTGTTCCGGTAATCTACTCATTGTCCACGCTGACACTGACAGCACAAAGTGGGTACGAAGAAGCTATTAACCATTTGCTATTTTGCTAGAAGAGAGAGAGACATTAGACTTCTCTACTGAGCAGGAGAGCTAGCTATTAAGTGACAGATTTTGCCTTGTGGTCTCTAACTACTATCTCTGTACCGAATCTGCAATCTTCTGTAAATAGGTTTGTATAATGTTCCACGAAATGTATGAAGCAGATTCACAAACAGCATGTTGATTGGTCCATCGTCATCATGTAGCAGATACTTAGCAAAATGTCATTCTTATCACGGTCTACCTGAAAGAAACTCAGCCTCGCCAGCTCTCGGACCTCATACACTTTTCTGCCTAAGGTGTCACTTATATCCTGTACTAATCTTTGTATTGGTCAGCTCTGACCCTCTTTCCTGGGACCATGCTTTCTGCTATTAGTTTTCCTAAACCCCCATGACACTTGATATAGCCCTACAAATATTTCCAAGTCAAGATGCTGTTTACAAGACAAAGATACTGTTTACTAGCCAATCTTCCTTAATATCAGATCTTTTAGGATGTCAGTATTTCTATTCTTCTTTATCTACAGTATTCCTAAAATCTGTCTACAGCATTTCAGCTTAAAAGCTTCTGTTTTCTTCCTTAAGGATTGCAAGATAGTTCATGACATTCTATATAGAAAGCATGAAATATTAAAATTAAAAGTAAGAAAAGAAACGAACGAATGAACAAACCTTATTTTCAAAGGGTGAAAAATTTGGCATGTAAGACTCTTTTCAGGCCACTGGCACATCAGACATATGTTACAGAACCATGTTTTTCAAAAATGAAGTCATATGTGATGGTTAATGTGTTGGTCAACCTCATGTTAGCTGCTCTTATTTCTTATGACATTTTTTAGTCCCATTTTTATGACGAGCTGACTTTCATGTTCAGCACAGTTATAACAATCTTGGGATTTTAACCTGTGGCAACACGATTTGTAACTTCAGAATGTGTTTGTTCCCAGCTTAATTTTTGTCTAGGCATTTTCAAGTTATAGAGGAAAATATGCTCCTGGATTTAACCTAAATCAACTGAAGTCTAACACCTAGACCAGGGCTATTCAACAAAGTTGGCTCAGGGGCCAAAATATTCAAAACGGGGATCGTCACGGGCCAGGGGCCTCAGCCCCAGCATAGAAAGATCTAAAATACAATACAGCTAGAAGTGATCCGCCAGCCACTTGCTAGGCCTTGGCGGGCCAGATTTGGCCCATGGGCCGCCAGTTGAATAGCCCTGACCTAGACTCTTGTCTAGGGATCAGGTGTCAATAGTCCAGATAACACTGACCAAGCTTAGACATGATGGCTGTAGGTTTTGTCTGTAAAACCAGAGGTGTCAGAAATGTTACATATTCAGCCCTTCTTCTGAACTGGCCAGCTCAGGGGAACTAATCCAGGCAAGGGAAAAGTCTAGACATGATGGCACAACTTGACTGGTTTGCCACAACTTGTATTGACACTAGGTAGAACAAGATGGGAATGTGTGATCAGTGGATGGGGGGGGGGGAGGAAGCAAATTGATTGACAGTCACAGTTTATAGGAACTTTCAGGGAAGGGGCTTAAAGGAAAAATTGTTGATACAGATAGTGAAAGGAGCCAAACTGCGTACTCAGATAAAGGGAAAGATTAATACAGCTAGGGGTCTTCAAATCACTTAAGAGGGCTGCCAGCTTGCCAGTCGACTAAGGACTCCAGCAGAAAGTTGCCAGTCAAGTAAGGACCCCAGCAGAAAGTTGCCAGTCAAGTAAGGACCCAAGCAGAATGTTGCCAGTCGAGTAAGGACCCCAGCAGAAAGTTGCCAGTCAAGTAAGGACCCCAGCAGAAAGTTGCCAGTCAAGTAAGGACCCCAGCAGAAAGTTGCCAGTTGAGTAATGACCCCAGCAGAAAGTTGTCAGTCAAGTAAGGACCCCAGCAGAAAGTTGCCAGTCAAGTAAGGATCCAAGCAGAATGTTCCCAATCGAGTAACGACCCCAGCAGAAAGTTGCCAGTCAAGTAAGGACCCCAGCAGAAAGTTGCCATTTGAGTAAGGTCCCCAGCAGAAAGTTGCCAGACAAGTAAGGACCCTAGCAGAAAGTTGCCAGTTGAGTAAGGACCCCAGCAGAAAGTTGCCAGTCAAGTAAGGACCCCAGCAGAAAGTTGCTAGTCAAGTAAGGACCCAAGCAGAATGTTGCCAGTCGAGTCAAGACCTCAGCAGAAAGTTGCCAGTCAAGTAAGGACCCCAGCAGAAAATTGCCAGTTGAGTAAGGACCCCAGCAGAAAGTTGTCAGTCAAGTAAGGACCCCAGCAGAAAGTTGCCAGTTGAGTAAGGACCCCAGCAAAAAGTTGCCAGTCAAGTAAGGACCCCAGCAGAAAGTTGCCAGTCAAGTAAGGACCCAAGCAGAATGTTGCCAGTCGAGTCAGGACCTCAGCAGAAAGTTGCCAGTCAAGTAAGGACCCCAGCAGAAAGTTGCCAGTTGAGTAAGGACCCCAGCAGAAAGTAGTCAGTCAAGTAAGGACCCCAGCAGAAAGTTGCCAGTCAAGTAAGGACCCAAGCAGAATGTTGCCAGTCGAGTAAGGACCCCAGCAGAAAGTTGCCAGTCAAGTAAGGACCCCAGCAGAAAGTTGCCAGTCAAGTAAGGACATCAGCAGAAAGTTGCCAGTCAAGTAAGGACCTCAGCAGAAAGTTGCCAGTCAAGTAAGGACATCAGCAGAAAGTTGCCAGTCAAGTAATGACCCCAGCAGAAAGTTGCCAGTCAAGTAATGACCCCAGCAGAAAGTTGCCAGTCAAGTAATGACCCCAGCAGAAAGTTGCCAGTCAAGTAATGACCCCAACAGAAAGTTGCCAGTCAAGTAATGACCCCAGCAGAAAGTTGCCAGTCAAGTAAGGACATCAGCAGAAAGTTGCCAGTCAAGTAAGGACCCCAGCAGATAGTTGCCAGTCAAGTAAGGACATCAGCAGAAAAGTTGCCAGTCAAGTAAGGACTTCAGCAGAAAGTTGCCAGTCAAGTAAAGACCCCAGCAGAAAGTTTTCAGTTAAGTAAGGACCCCAGCAGAAAGTTGCCAGTCAAGTAAGGACATCAGCAGAAAGTTGCCAGTCAAGAAAGGACCCCAGCAGAAAGTTGCCAGTCAAGTAAGGACCCCAGCAGAAAGTTATTCTAGCTGTGTGAGTCTCTTTTTTGGCAAATTGCTGGAATGTTCCCAGGTATGACTGAACATTATTTTTACTTTTGTATTCATACGTGTGGAGTCTAGCAAGGCCATTCCATCTTTCTTGAATTATCTAAATAAACATTCTGCTTGAAATAGTTCTTTGTGAATGAATTTTCAGCTATCTCAGTTAGGAAGCTGGTAAACCATTCCTAGTTCTTGAATGTCTGTAGTACATTTTTTTCAGTGTGTGTTTTCATGTTTATAAAAAAGGACTTGAATACTGATATTTATCATAATGAAATGTAATGAAATTATAATGTTTCAAACATCCACAAAACCAGGTGCATTGTTTGTGGGGATATGATGACCACATGTGCAGCCATATGGTGATGATTTTGATAGCCCGCCATGTACTCAATGAAATGTGTTTACCTACCCTGAGAGTATATGATTAACTGTCACTGGAAATAAAATATTTGGGACAGCCTGCCAGTATAATGATTTGGGTTTTCAGCACATAACCTGTTACCTCATGGCCATGACAAAACAATGTCAGCCAGTTTGAAGTCTGAGTGAGAACGGACAACAGACTTATAGGACAACTTTCATGATAGTAGATGAAAGGGAAGGCAGGATATGTAGGACATCAGTGAAAGACCAAAGACCTTCATTCTAGACTGGAAAGAATGTGAATATGAGAAGGAGGGATGAAATATGTTTTTATCAGAATATGTATGTTTGAGGTAAATCTTGATGCTACACATGTGTTGGTTTTCTTTATCACAGTTCCAATCAGGGAAAGGACCAGTCAGCACGTATTAGTAGCAGATTGTCCCACTATAGGACCTACTTGAAGTAGTGAGGACAACAGGCTGAGAAAAGTTAGGCAGCCTCAAAATAAGATCTGATACTTTAATTTTACCATATGAGCCACTTTTGCTGTTTTCTTGATTATCCAGGATTGTCTGTGGTATCAACATAGCTCAGATATTAGTCCAGTTTCTCATGTAGGTGTGCAGTGTCAAGATTAAAACCCATTCACTCACTCACTGAGTGGATGTTCTCATGTGGGTTGGTGACATAGCACATGACCAGGCTTCTCATTCAATAGTAACTTACCACAATTGAGCTCGTCTGCGCCATTTTCACAGTCATTTTGCCCGTCACACTGGTACTCTGCTAGAACACAGTAGCCATTACCGCAGGAAAACTCATTTGACTTGCAAGGGTTGGATTCTGAAAACAGAACAGGATTCATCAATAGGTATGAGCTTTTCATTTCTTCTCCTTTCATTTGCTTGAAATCATCAACATCAAATGTCCTGCTCATAAGAGTAGGTTATTATGTTTCTTCACCTCACATGATCACCATCATAATAGATCAGGTCAGCGCTCTTGTTTCATCTCATCAATATGGCCTAGCTATCCTAGTATTTATCTCTGCTTCCCCTTGCTCTTTTTCCATCTACCTTGCAATACCAGGCAATAAACTGTCATCAGTTTGTAGCCACCTGTTCAGATTTAAAGTGAAAAGTAAAAGTAAAGATCCCTTTTCAAGCTTCAGGCGCATCGGGTATATGGGAAGAGCGTCCCATATTTTTTACAGACCAACCGGAAATGGGTGTGTAATGTGGTCAGCATTACGCCGGCTGTCTTTACTTCTCCAGGACAGCCATCCTGGTACCCATTTTAGGCTGGGTCGACCTGCGACGCCCCATACCATGATAAAAATCCATGCAGCCAGCAGTGGGTTTTGATCGTGGTACGTTGGATTACGAGTCGGACTCCCAACGCCTAAGCCACGGACGCCGCACGCCTGTTTAGATTTACAAGGGAAAACTCCTCAAAGTGGCATCTGTATGCTCTTTTGTTTTCCTGAACTCAGTATTTCATTTTTTTTTTTTTTTAAATGACTATCAAGCTCAAAAAGAGGGAAAGGGAATAAAATGTGCAGATGCAACCAAATGTTTCAGCTGAAGTCTTTATCAGTACTTAAACCAGAAGATAAAAAAACCATAAGCGCCTGCATCCATACAGCAAAGCAAAAGTAAGTTTTGAAAATCTTTAATTGCCTGCTACCCACTTCTACAAGGCTGAGGTTAATCCCATAAACTCCAAACACTGCTGGCTCTTCTTCTTTTTCTTCTTCTTCTTCTTCTTCTTCTTCTTCTTCTTCTTCTTCTTCTTCTTCTTCTTCTTCTTCTTCTTCTTCTTCTTCTTCTTCTTCTTCTGCTACTCTTTCTCTTATTTACTTCTTTTTAAGCAACAAACAAACAAGTAAAAAAACAAAAAACTAAGTGTATTACCTATGCCCTCAACGTCATAATTCATCAAAGCTCTAAGTGCAAATGTGGAATTTGTCTGAACATAGCGAATTGTGTTGATGTCAAATGGGATGCCTTCCTGCACTTCATGCTCATACATCTGGAGGCGAGAACAAATTTTCATAACTTTTACATACCAAATAGTTTTGGTAAAATTTTTACTGTAAACTGATTATGAAAGGCTTTTTTTCCAGGCGTATGATACTATTAAAATAAAAACAATCAAATACTGAGGCTCTGGAAAGAATGAAAAGAGAATTACTGAAAGAAATAAAGAGACAATTGAAATACTGTGGCCACATTAAAAAACATAAAACACCTTTTGAAAACCAAACTGGAGTGAAAGGTCAAAGGCAAGAGAGCAAGAGGTGAGCAATGATACAAGTGGGAGGACAACATTAAGAGATGGACACGCAGCAGTCTGAGAAAATGTACAAACAAGACAAGAGACAGGGCATATTGTAGATCCATTGCAACCAACTATCACTATGGAGATGGCACCTGATTGATTGACTATGGCACTGTCTTTTTCAGTTGAGGAGAAAAGGGGTTTCTACAACAAAAGTGAGCCAATTCGGATACAGAAGACTGTATAATCAGCAGTCAGTATCTTAACTCTTTGAGTCCCAAGGAACGCATCATACATTCATAGGTTACTGTCTAGATGCCCATTGAACGCATGATGCGCCGATTTTACATCTCTCTTGAATACCCCTTGGGCATGTGATGCTAAACCCTCTGGGACTCAAAGAGTTAAAATTCTTTTTATTGTTCACTGGACGCAAACTCTGGTAAAAAGTTCTCGTTTGTTCATCTTTATTCCAGTACCCTAGTTTTGTATGCACATTATTTTACATAAATGGCTTATTGGTATGCAGACTGTGGGTTCCTTGTCTGTCAGGCAGATGTACTGCAACTTCAAAGGAAACATCTGGAGCCTGAGAATTTAGTGCCGCATGGCTAGTGCTGTGGCCCTGGACTGTGCAGGCTAGGATGTTTATTTCTGAGCCTGACAGAAAAACTCCTATCACCTTACCAGGGATCCATTCTGGGTCTTCCGCATGAGAACCCGGCATTGTAACCACTGGGCCAGCTGCACCTCTGACAACATGATAGCTAGTTCATGAGGTAGAATGTTGTTGACAGACATGATGTCTATTCTAATGTCAGCCAGCATGGACTACAAGGAAAAAATACTATGAGCATGGCATGTAGTTGGCACTGTTCCCTTATTCTAGACAGCAATGTTATAATGAGCTTTAGGTAGGGAGGCAGGGAAATCACAGCCCATGGGATGGGGTAGTGAGCGCTGACAAGCAAGGCTTGCTCATGTTTAAAATAAAAAGGCTAAAGGGTATAGAAAGAATAACAGACGACAGTGATAAAAATGCATGCACAAAAGAACTGAATGGGAGTAGAGACAGACCAAGAAGACAGTGAATGAGCAAAGCCTGCTCATGTTTAAAATAAAAAGGTTGAAGGGTATAGAAAGAATTACAGATGACAGTGATCAAATGCATGCACAAAAGAGCTGAATAGACAGTGAATGAGCAAAGCCTGCTCATGAATAAAATAAAAAGTCTTCCACAATTAGAGAATGGGACTTCAGGACCATTGTTGGCATCATGTGTATCTGACATGCACCTTGTGAAACGCTCAGCTCTAAACCTATCTGCAGTCATTGTCTTATGTATCCTTTTATCCCTATTCTCTTCCTGGTTTGCCTCTCCCTTGACCCCCTTCCCTTTTTTTTCATTCCATACAACACAGTCCATAACATTAGTCTTCTTCTTCTTCTTCTCGTTCCCTGTCTGTAAGCTCCAGCAGAAAGTCCTGGTTGTTGATCCATTTGGAATTTGGCTTTATGCCTGGGCCTGAGTTTGCCGTGTACATCCGTCTTACTGGCTTATTTGTGAGCACCTGGTTGTTCCTAGCAGCTCAGGCAGATGCACTCTGACTTTGAAGGAAGCTCCCAATTGGTCAACTCCTACGACATGCTTGTTGGGAAGACAGTGGGTCAGTTCTTGTTTTCCCCACAATTGGGCCCTGGAACCCACATGGGAATAACAGAGTAAAAAAGACCCTTTTCCCTGAGCCTTCAGCTACAGTGGGCATATACTGCTAGACCTAAATCTTACAGACCAAACGGCACTCTGTGGGTGATGTGGTCAAAATTATACCAGCCTCCTTTACTTCCCAGGACTTTATTTGGTACCTATTTAAGGCTGGGTTGAACTGGCAGTCAAGGTAATTGTATGGCATACCAGACCAGCTAAAAATATATCTGTGACTGCCAGGGAACTGCACTGCCAGAGTGACTCACTTACTTGTCTGCCATCCCAGTTGGCAGGTATTAAAACAAAATACTCACTTAGGCAAAGATTTTTTTCACTGGTCTGATTCCCATCTCCACTTAGCCTGAAAGAACCAGAAAATGTGCTGGGAAATAAAGGTGGCTGGAATGATACTGATGACATCACTCACTGGGTGCTAGCTGCTCTACACTAGTGATTCTCAACCTTCCCAATGCTGCAAGCCTTTAATACAGTTCCTCATGCTGTGATGCCAGTCATAAAATTATTTTCATCTGATTAACTCAGTTTATAACATATTTAAATGCTACTCACCTGAGCAAGGTAAGTCTGGTACAGCTCAGTTGGTGCAACAACATCATCCGCTGGGGTGGCCTGAGCTATGACATTGTTAGGAGTTGTTTCGGGATAGAAGACACCGATAAAGTCTCCTCTTTGAACAAGAATTGGAGTTTCCAGTTGAACATATTTTTTGCCTACTGTGCCTGGTGGAAGCTCTGTTTTGCTAAGGAGAACAAATTCACTGTCTCCAAGTTGCCTCCAAATACCAACAAATGCGATTCCTAAACAAAGAAAAGAAGTTAACAGTGCAGAATACATCTTTGTCATCTTTTCCTTCAGCATTCTGAGCCTTTGACGGTCATTTCTGCAGCCATTCCCACCTGCTTTCATCTTGGCCTTCTCTTTCTGGTTGGTGACACTAAGTGTTTGCAAGTCTGTCAACATGTTACCTCTTCGGTCTTCATGATCTGCCTCAAGGTATACTCTCTTTCAGCTCTTTTGTGCATGCATTTCTATCTTTCTGTCATCTGTCATTCTTAATGTATCTTTCAACCACTACATCTATAAGCCCTCATGATGCCAGTATTTTAAACTGATTATAAATTTTATAGTAGCCTCTATCTCCAGTCTCCATTGTTTGCATCTTTGATGGGTCCAAAGATTTGTTGTAAAACTATTCCAAAAGTTGTTTTTTTTAAATAAACCTTTATCTTGTTTATATGTACTCCAGATTTGAGAGGAAAATAAGACAACTGGTCTTATTCATGTCTTATATACTGTAATCTTGGTGTTACATGACAGAGCATTTGATTTTAGCAGATGTTGTAGGGCATAGTCTACCTTGTTTCCAGAATTTATTCTAGATTGTATGTCTTCTCTTACTGTGTACAGAATAAAACATTTAACTGCCCCATATCAATTAATATAACAAACAGTTGATCCACAGCAACTAATACTCTAAAAAAATGCCTACACATAGCAACTAATATAACAACGTATGCGTTTCAACTAAAATAACAAACAGCTGATCTGCAATAACTAACATAACAAGCAGCTTCTAGATAGCAACTAATATAAAAAACAACTGATCAGTTAAAATAATATAATATACAGCTGATCGTTAACAATTAATATAAGAAACAGCAGACCAACATCAACTAATATAAGTAGCTGCAGACCCTAAACACATAAATATAAGACAACTGACTAAAACTAAAAAATCAAAAGCACCAGACTTTTAAAACTAATCTGAGAAATAACTGACTGATTGTAACTAAAATAAGTAGCAGCAGACCTCTACACATCTAATGTAAGAAACATTTGCTTTACACTAATGCATCAGACCACAAACAACAATTCAACATAGAAATACAGGGGAAGAAGAACCAGATCACCCACCTTGAGGAATGACTCTGTAGTATTCCCAGGCAACCACAGCTCCATCACAAGGAAAGGCATTGTTGATTAGCAGGCTGGCATAGTTAGTTCCATTCCTGGGTAGAACCTCCGGTGAACGGCCAACAAAAATTGGGCACTGAACTTCACCTGTTAGTAACAGAAGATGGATAAATTTTATAAAAGTAATAATCCATCTATCAGAGAAACTCTACAACAGCACAGCATGATGTATCGTTGGTTGAGGAGGTCAGATGAGCGAGAAGCAGAGCTTTATGATTCCCCTGACACTCAAAATTGTAAAACAAGAAGTGAACAAGAAGAAGATAATCTGCCAAATCAAGTGAGTCAGTCCTCCTCAAAACATTTGTAAACTGTAAACTAATTAGAGAAATTAGACATAAACAGTCAGATTTTTTAAAACCTGAGAACTAGATGATGACTGGCAAAATAAATGGGAAGATAGCACTGAGAAGACAGAGATAAATACATCTTCTCTTCGACTTGTGACGTATAACCATCTTCGCTTATGAAAAAATAAGGTAACTACATTGGTATGGTTTAAAAAACATTCCCAGAACTGATGCAATAAAGTACATATTATGTTTTTCTCATTATGTTAAAAATAACAAATTAAAACAAATCATAATAAAAATTCCCCCTTTCCCATTCCCAACATGGATACAAGGGCCCTGTGGTAAGGAACAAAAATGACAGAATAGACCAAAAGTTCCCCTAACAAGCATGTCATAAGTAAACTAATTTGGGCAGCTTCCTTTAAGTGGGAGTGCATCTGCCTGAGGAATGAGGAACAGACTGCATGGTGCATACAATTAATCCAGATCTGTAAAAACAGATGTGTACACAAAACTCAGGTTCTCCAAGAGACTGAAGTTCCAAAATGCATGAACAACGGTAATTTACCATCGGAGTTCACAGCCGGTCAATGCCAAAAGGAAGAAGAAGAAGTGATAATAACACTTTTAAATTGAGCACAGTGCTCTCTTCTTTTTCTGCCCCTTTATCCCCCTTTATCAGTGTCTGTGGCTTAGGCGTTATAAACACACTTCGTAATGCCGGGCTGCCGTGGTCGATCAAAGCTGCGAACGATTTGTCTTGTGTTGGTTTCGACAGTGGTACGAAGACTGACCGTTCAGTAAGCAATGGCAAACTACTGAACGTAAAAATTTGCCTTGAAAAACCACAACAGCAACAACAAAAAAATGCTGGCGTTGGTTCTGCAACATCCTGTAAAGGAAACACATCTAATTTTGTATCCCCCAATGGAGCTTAAACCTTCAACCAGCTCACCAAATAAGTCGTCCTAGCCTTGCTATCATGTGCAGCTCACCCCATGTCCTCCCCATTTTTTTGTCCTCATTTTATAATTCTCTTCTCTATGTGTTTTTTTGTTTGTGTGTCTACCTTTACTCCTTTCACTCCACTGGCTCCAGCGCAGGGACATACTAGTTATACTATTAGCAGATTTTCTCAATGTGTCTGCTTTCTAACACTACAATCTTTTCCTCATCTCCTACATTGCTAGAAATGTGCAACTGCTGTAATACATTTCTCAGAGAAAATTTCAGATTTAAAGAATCATTACAACTATATATATACATATACATACATATATATAAGTTAGATGTCCTTAGACAAAACTGATCTCAGTTAACCTTTAAAGGCATTTCTTATCATACTTTCATTAATTTAATTTTAACAGCGGTAAATTAAAAAGATAGTGCAAAAGGAGTGAAGATAGATTAACACTTCCAGATATCAAAGGCTGTCTATCTTTGTTTATAAGACATGATACTAACACATGAAACTGTGTTTACAGTTGGATAAACAGCTAAAAGCAATAAATAGCAAATTAAACATTGGTGGTTATCATGATAAATACAGTGTGAAAAACTAAGTTTAATTTAGTGCAATAAATGAACCAGATTCCCAAGCATCTGTAAGCAAAAGAGATTTTAACACTTTCAAACCCTGGAGGTCATGGCAGCCATCAAGGGGTTAACGGCAACAAAAACAAAACCATAACTTAATTCCTTTCATAGAGAAACACACTACGTATATAGCAATTAGGCAGTTAGCCTTCTTTCTATCTTCTTTCTTTCTTAGGCAGTAAATCGTCTTTCTTTCTTTCTTTCTTTCTTTCTTTCTTTGTTCGTGCGTTCGTTCGTTCGTTCATTTGTTCGTTCATTCATTTGTTTTTTCTTTCTTTCTTTCTTTCTTTCTTTTTTCTTTCTTTCTTTCTTTCTTTTTTTTTTTTCTTCTTTTTCTTCTACTTCTTCTCCTCCTCCTTCTCATTCTTCTTCTTCTTCTTCTTCTTCTTTTCTTCTTCTTCACTTCCTCTTTTACCTCTACAGGTGTCAAGAGAGATATAAGGTTCTGCTTCATGCTCAGATCACCTCGACCATAGACACATCATGACTATTGTAGATTTTCTCAGATGTTACCTTGTTATCTGCATCCCTCTCTTCTTTTAGTGTTTGCCTTGTATATTATGGCATCACAAATCATCCTCTCTAAGTGGGCAAGCCATTTGATTTGCTATGTATGTAAATTGGAATTGCTGTGTTGACTTGCTGACTTTTTCTCTTGTCACCTCATTCCTCATTGTATCTCTACTGGCCACTCTTGCAGCCCTTCTCAGACATTTCTGTGGTTACTATTTCCTGTATCTGGTTTGTTGTGAGTGACAATGTCGTCTGGCACTGGCAGCATAGGGTTTCTTTCTCTACCCATTTAAAAGAGAATACTGGCCCATGGACAGCTCCAGCAGCGTGGCGGCTAGACTCTCACCTGCCTGCCTGACTGAGACAGATTTTTTTTTTAAAGTGACCTTTTTTTCCAGGTTGACCCAGCTTAAAATAAGTGCCAGCTAATTTCAGAAAAAGTAAAGATGGCTGGAAAGTAAAGACATGTTGACATGCTTTTGAGACAGATGATGAGTTGAATCTATACAAGAATATTCTTACAGATGCAGTGCTACCAAAACCAGACACGAACTTCTTTTTCTTCTTTTGTCACCACACTGCTACCAGATTATAGCCTAGTGTCATGGCGCCTGTATTTGTCTTGCACTTCTCAAGTAGCATTAGCAATGGATTGGTTTATCTTTTTGCAAGATCCACCTACACTGTCTATCTACCTTTTCTTTGGCAATATCACTCATTTAGAGTAATGACTGGTCTGTAAATATATAATGGGCTCATATTCGCCAAGGGGACTGAACATTTAATACAGTTTTATCCAATATTATTAAGTTACGGTCTTTGCAGTTCTGTAGTTTTTCTGGCTAGTATTTATTTCTGGTGATCACACAAGAATCAGAGATTCAAATGATCAGACAGAAATGGGATATTTCACATTTCACAGTACTGTAAAATTTGTGAAAGTCAAAGGAAATTAAAACTTATACTAAATTTAAGATACTGAACTCTTCCCCTGTGGGTTTCCAGGGTCAAATTGCGGGGGTAAACAAGAAAGACCCACTGCCTCCCTAACAAGTATGTATAAGAGTCAACAAATTAAGGGTTTCCTTTAAAGTCAGAGTACATCTGCCTGAGTTGCAAGGAATCGACAGAATATAAATCAGCCTGATATGTAAAACAGATGTGCACACAAAACTCATGTTCTGGAAGAAGATCATCAGTAAGAAGTGAACGAATAACCACAACTTTCTGCCAAGGTTTACAGTCAGTGAAGGCTAAGAAGTATTTTCACTTCAAGAATCATAACTTTCATTCATAACCTGGATACCTACAACTAAACACTGACTATGCATTCCCTTTATGCATAATATAATTACTAATTGTCATACGCAATATTTTGTTGTTTTAAAGCTCCACCCTGGCTGTTGCCAGGGGGCCCTCACATAACCCAACCCATGGGTTGCACGGGGTTTCAGGGACCTGTTCCTGAGTGACCCTCATCTGAATGGTGGAACTTTGTTCACCAGGTGTTTATCGCTTTGTGTCATGTCCTGGGAAGGTTGAACGTCAATTAATCAATGTACTCCCTTCTGTATAATTAACTATAGAAAGGATTATTTCTGACAATTTAAATTGCGCTTTAATCTGTTGCTTTCACTATTTGCCTGTAGCTTTTAAGCAGCAAGAAGTACTAAGCTGTAGACAATTAAAAGATTGTTTGGTGTGCAGTCTCGTTCACCGTCTAATTAAAGGTTAATGGCTGTGAGGCAATATTACTGTGCACAAATTGTTTTCTTGATCCAGAAACTTACGACAAAAATGTTCATCTTCACCACCAGGGCAGTCTGAATTTCTGTCGCAGGCCTTGAGTCTGGGTATACAAACCTGGTTCTGTGCACACAACAGTTCATCCAGCCGGCACTTTGTGGAAGTGGCTTTGTAGAAATGTGAGTCATGTAATAAGTTATGTAATCAGTTGGTGTTATTTGAACATGCTATGAGAAGAAACAACTCAATAACTTGTTATAATTGACACAATTGGTGGGAAAATAACTTGGAGAAGGTGAATAGAAAAGCAAAGAAATACTGTAAATATCTGGATTGCTTAGCCGTATGACTGGGGTAAGATAAGAACACTGACCTGATCTGTGATTCTGGTTATTGTTTGAGATAATGAAACATGACGGCTATTTGTATTGGCCAGGACATGGCAATGATGACACAAGAATCTGTTATGAATTCTGGGCTAACAATACCAGATCTGAAACACTGACAATATGGTCCCTGCCACTTGCACAATTGGAACTCTGCAGAACTGAAACTCTGTGCTGGCACTGAAGAAAGAGACGGAGGTCTTATGGGAATGTCCTGAGTGCTATGATGTCATTTTTAATTCAGCTCAGTTCAGTTCACTGTGGTTCTGTACATGTTTTTGTCTAACTGGCACTTGATCGAAGTGGCTTTGAGGAAATTCAGACATGTAATATGTTGAATTGAGAAAACGATCTTTTTACGAGCTCTATGCATCAAGAATAAACAAACAAACCAGGAATTAACCACTTCTTTCATTTACCATTGTCCTGTTGTGCCGTTGTATGATTTTACACAGGGCTTGTAGTCTACTTCTACTGCAATACTTCAATATCATAGATGGAATCAAGTATAGCACCTTTGACTTCTCTCATCAATGTTCACCCAGGAGTTTAGCATTTACCAAGATGAACAATATATGGAGGTCAAAAGGACTTAGTTTGAAGACAAAACTCAAATAATACAAGAGCATCATTTCAGGAAAACTTTTACACACCAGTGTGTGTTGCAAAATGTCAGTAGGAATTAGACAAAATCCAGAGTTCCAAAATAAATTTCAATGGAGAATCTTGCGACTATTTTGTCCAAATAGGATCACACAATATAAAATTAAAAGTGAAGAAAGTAGAAGACTAGGTCTAGAACAAGTCACACGGTTTATCAAAGAGCAACAGAATCAATGGTTTGGCTATCTGATGTGGTGCCCTGGTACCAGTCATTGCTGAAGAAAAACATTAAACCTTCAGCAAGGGGAAAAACCTTGCAGAAGATTGCAGCAAGAACAGTCTTAAAGAAATTAAAATCAATGTATACACCACACTGGAAAAAGCACTCAGAACACCATTCTATGTTCATCATTTTCCTCAGGAAATTGTTTTCGAATGCACTTAACCTTTGTTCCATATCTTCAGTGGGTTCTCCAAATTTTACTGGCACATGTCAAAACTGAAATAACATTAGAATTCATTCAACTTGGCAGATACAATTCTTAACATATGGTAAAAGAGACCTACCTTCAAGTGATCGTACTGAGAAACCATCAGAGCTGACAGCGTATCTACCAATTCTGCCACCACTGACTGCAGCCTCTAAGACTTGGCTAAGTTCCTCATCAGGTTCAGAGCCTTCATATCCTAGATCAAAGGTTACCAGTATCTGTCCTTGGTCACCGGTACTAATAGAATACAGTATGAGACTTTGAGTTATTACATGTCACATGTAGTAGAGATAGAAGTTTATCATGGCCTGGAGAGAATGAGGCATCTGGGTGTAACCAGAGGGTCTGGCTGGCTCACTACACTCAAGATGGACACATAAAAGGCAAGATGGATATATAACCAGATTGTGTCTGGTACCATCAGTATTGGAACTTTGAGCTGGCTGCTGAAGATGAGGGAGCATGCATGGGGATGTCCCGAGTGCTGTGATGTCATCTCTTGACTTAAGTCAACTCAACATGTCACAATGTCATGTTTAAAGACATCTATATGCATATTTCTTTTATCTGAAGGCATTTCTACACATATCTCTTAGATCTACACATATTTAGTACACTTGTAGGTTTTTTCCATACACATATTTCTTATATCTGAAGACATCTCTATACAAATTTCTTACATGTAAAGACATTTGTACACACATTTCTTTTATCTGAAGGCATTTCTACACACGTCTTATATCTGCACATATTTAGTACATTGGTTTTTCCCCGACGCATATTTTTTATATTCAAATCATCTCTATATGCACTTCTTATTTGTAAAGACATTTTCATTCTTATTTTTTTAATTGAAAATATTTCTATGCATATTTCTTACATGTATATTTCCTGCATTTTAAGACATTTCTTCACATATTTATTTTATATAAAGATATTTCTACACTTTTCTCTTGTATGCAGACATTTCTACTTATATTTGCAATATATAAAGAAATGTCTTAAGATGTCTGTTATATGTAAATGCATCACTACCCATGTCTGTTATATGTCAAGACATCACTAACCACATCTGTTATATATAAAGATATTTCTACACATGTTTCTTATACTTTTTATTTAAAGACACTTCTACAAATATTTCTTATACTTGAAGGTTTTTTCCTAAACATATTACTTATATTTAACAATTCTATAGATTTGTCTGTTACATGAAGACATTTATGTCTGTTAAATAAAGATGTTCCGATGCATATTTCCTACATTTGAATGTCTTTCTACAATTTTTGTTTTAATACTTCAAGACCTTTCTACCCGTTTTTTCTCATACTTTAAGATTTTTTTCAACACACATACATAGAGTGGTAATCAGGTAAATGCTCATGCACATGCGCAAACACCAATATATAGATATGAGGGCATGTTAAAAAAAGTTGACGGGTAGAGAGGCAGAGAGAGACCATTAGAGAATATGCCAAACATTTTGATAAGCATGGAGAAAAGTCTGTATTAGAGATGAGAGAAGACTGTGAGCAAACATAACTTCCAATACCAAACAGCAGGAACTAACAGAAGAAGTAGTAGTAGAAGAAGAAGAAGAAGAAGAAGAAGAAGAAGAAGAAGAAGAAGAAGAAGAAGAAGAAGAAGAAGAAGAAGAAGAAGAAGAAGAAGAAGAAGAAGAAGAAGAAGAAGAAAGGAGAAGAAGAAGAAGAAGAAGAAGAAGAAGAAGAAGAAGAAGAAGAAGAAGAAGAAGAAGAAGAAAGGAGAAGAAGGAGAAAGAAAAGGAGAAGAAGGAGGAGGTAAAGCAGCAGCAGGAGCAGCAGAGGTAGGAGGAGGAGGAGAAGAAGAAGAAGGAGGAGAGGAGGAGGAAAAGAAGAAGAAGAAGAAGGAGGAGAGGAGGAGGAAAAGAAGAAGAAGAAGAAGAAGGAGGAGAGGAGGAGGAAAAGAAGAAGAAGAAGAAGAAGAAGAAGAAGAAGAAGAAGAAGAAGAAGAAGAAGAAGAAGAAGAAGAAGAAGAAGAAGAAGAAGAAGAAGAAGAAGAAGAAGAAGAAGAAGAAGAAGAAGAAGAAGAAGAAAAAAAAAGAAGAAGAAGAAGAAGGAGAAGAAGAAGAAGAAGAGAAAGAAGAAGAAGAAGAAGAAGAAGAAGAAGAAGAAGAAGAAGAAGAAGAAGAAGAAGAAGAAGAAGAAGAAGAAGAAGAAGAAGAAGAAGAAGAAGAAGAAGAAGAAGAAGGAGAAGAAGAAGAAGAAGAAGAAGAAGAAGAAGAAGAAGAAGAAGAAGAAGAAAGGAAAAGAATAAGGAGAAAGAAAAGGAGAAGAAGGAGGAGGAGAAGCAGCAGAGGTAGGAGGAGGAGAAGAAGAAGAAGGAGGAGGAGGAGCAGAAGAAGAAGAAGAAGAAGAAGAAGAAGAAGAAGAAGAAGAAGAAGAAGAAGAAGAAGAAGAAAGGAGAAGAAGAAGGAGAAAGAAAAGGAGAAGAAGGAGGAGGAGAAGCAGCAGAGGTAGGAGGAGGAGGAGGGAGGAGGAGGAGGAGGAGGAGGAGGAGGTGGAGGTGGAGGAGGAGGAGGAGGAGGAGGAGGAGCAGCAGCAGCAGCAGCAGCAGCAGCAGCAGCAGCAGCAGAAGCAGCAGCAGCAGCAGCAGCAGCAGCAGCAGAAGAAGAAGAAGAAGAAGAAGAAGAAGAAGAAGAAGAAGAAGGTTTGTGTGTATGAGTGTATGTGTATGTGTGTTAGGTCTTGAGAGAGGCGGAGAGAGAGGAAACCAAAATATGCATTATTTATCATGATAAACCACTTATTTTCCTAGATATTGCTTTTACAGAAGGACCACACACATACCTGTACTGTAGAACGGTCACAGTTTTGCGACCTTCGATATTCCAAAACAAATTTTCGATTTCCGCAGCTATCAACTCCGACTGTTCCTTGAACTCTTGGCTCTCTCTATTGAAGATATTTGTTGTGTAAGGCAAGTTGGAGAAACTGACTGACACCCGGAAGAAACCTAGGGGACAAAATGACATTAATCAAGTAAAACTTTGTTAAAATTAACTAGCTTATGAAGAACACTCGGTTACTTGAACAAATTGTGGTCCCAGCAGAGAAGTATTTTTATAAGCCACCGCTTAGCAGGGGTATTTGTTTACCACGAACTCAATTTCTCATCCTTTAGAATTCGTGTCAAAAACTACTGCTACAACTGCTACAATACTGTTACTATTACTCCCTTTTTCGTCGTCATCTTCTTCTTTTTCTACTACTACTACTACTACTACTACTACTACTACTACTACTACTACTACTACTACTACTACTACTACTACTACTACTACTACTACTACTGCTGCTGCTGCTACTACTACTACTACTACTACTACAACTACGACCACGACGACGACTACTACTACTGCTACTACTACTTCTACTTCTACGACGGCAACTACTATCACCTCCACCACTACTACTACTCTTTCTTCTTCCTCGTCTTGTTTTTCATCATTATCATCACCAGCATCATCATCATCTCCTTTTCTTCCTCAACATGTTTCTGTACTTCTACTTCTTCATCTTTCTCTAACTAGACGTTTTCAAAAAATAAAATCTTTAAGACACACTTCTCTATTGTGGCAACATACAAATGAGTGCTAATGATTTCCTTTTCCATAATAGAACAAAAGTCGTCACTCAACAAATATCCCAATCTTATTCACCCCACCCACTTTTCCCTCCACCTCCCTTCTCGTCACCTCTTCTCCTTACACGCACGCACGCAAGTACTCACTCACTCACTCACACACACTCACACACACACCCTTGCCATTTCCTCATCGTCTATCTCTTCTGTAAACTATCTCAACTACAAGTTTGAACACGAGACAGGGTGAACCAAACTAGGAATAATTCTGATCGTCCTAACACCGCCAGACGCCTCCCGAAAACGGCTAATAGCCTCTTTCCTTTGTGTGTAAGTAGGCGTTTTTGTTTTATGAAAACATACGATCGCTCTCTCTCTCTCTCTCTCTCTCTCTCTCTCTCTCTCTCTCTCTCTCTCTCTCTCTCTCTCTGTGTGTGTGTGTGTGTGTGTGTGTGTGTATCAAAAGTAAATGCAAGATTAACTTACAGTACAGAAAAGATTCATGTATGATTTTTAGTAAACACACGACGATGGTTTGTGGATTAAAGAGCGTTTAGATAAGAACCTTATATATATATATATTTAGAAAGAGAGAGCAGTTACAATACAGTAGTCACAGTGGCATTAAAAGTTAAGCACTAGCAAGGAAAGCAGGCATGGTCCCTGTAGCGACACACGGGTGTGAGTCGCGGACATTCTCGCAGTCCTTTTAAGAAAGAAAGAAATCGGATTTTGAGATGAAATGCTATAAATTTTCAGAATATCATGAACAAAGAAGAGAATAAAAACTGACATTTTTAAATATCAGAACATCATTTTGGTCATATCAACCGCTATGGTGGTTTAGAAAAAAATAGTAGAATATATGGTGCCAGAAAGGAGAAGATGGGCAGGAGATACAAGTAACTCCTTGAGTACACGGAAAGGGGGGGGGGGGGATTTGGCGAGAGACCTTGTTTATTTAAGGCAGACCGTGATGAGAGCGACGTTCTGCAAAGGACCTGCTACATGATATAAAGCAAGTCCCTCTGTATATAAATAGAGAAGGCCGTGTGTATAGTTACAGTACACTTGTTCTTACAAATGCCTGTCGCATACAACACGTTACTGGATGGTATAATGAGCTGCACCTGAACATAGGAGAAGGGAGTGCGCCGGCAAATTGACCCCCCTTTAGGAAAATTATAAAAGGGACTTAGCGCCCCCTGCCACCACCTTTTCCCACTACCCTCTTCCACCACCAAACCACAAATATGTCTTTGTGTCAGCGCTAGTCAGTCATATAATATCTTTTTTTCTTCTTCTTTTATTTCTGCTGTTACTGCTGCTGCTGCTGCTACTACAACTACTACTACTACTACTACTACTACTACTACTACTGTTGCTGCTGCTTACTCTACTTCTTCGTTTTCTTCATTTCTTTTTTTTTTTTCTTTAAACCGCCTTGGGTTTTTAAAGGAGAAAGAAGGTTCTGCTTCTTGACACCCTCCCCCCCCCCCCCACCCCCCCCCCCCCCCCAACCCACCCCCGCAACTCCATTTAAATATGAATACTTTTAAATACAATTCTTCTGACACACACACACACACACACACACACATATATATATATATATATATATATATATATATATATATATATATATATATATATATATATATATATATATATATATATATATATATATATATATATGTACTAGGGTGGAGTGGCCCTAAGTACCAAGATTAAAAATAAAGGAAAATAGTTCGTAAGGTGGGGACTAGAAACAAGGATTTTCTAGTCCAGACACAAGATCTTCTGTGTAAAGTCTAATAAGCCAGGTAACAAATAAACAAACTACGCACACTAGCCACAAGTACTAATCCGAATCAAAAAGTTGGGACTATCATTATCACATTCACATCTATTTATTTCACTGAACATCATCTAAGGTCTTCACAAATAATAATGCATTACAATTCACAACGTGTTAGGAAATACCCTACAATAGATGGAACCTATCTTTCTCTCTACACACCTCAACCCACGTTGCGTAAAATCATTGAACGCAACGGACAAATCAGAACTACATGTTTCTCGTCCTAAAACCAGTGAGCCTAAGAGGGCGAAAATGGTCACTCCCGTCTGTTTTATCACTTCCTGACCCCCAAGTTGGCCAGGTTTTTAGGTCGCTTAAATAGGCCTAATTCAATTTATGTAACAGTCGTCCAGCGCCTATTTCAAGTCTCCTCATCAAATCTGTTGGCGTCCCGACAACTACACAATACCTAACAATAATTGTTTACCAATTCTTCCTTAACTCCTGTTCTTCATTTACTGTGCATTGACCACAGAAACAAAATTATTTTCATGACATAACATAATCTCTAGCTACTTGCAGCATCTTTAACATGTACACAATCGTCAATAACACACAACAAGCAAATCTGCAATATAAAAAAACACAAAAATGCAAAAATAATCGAATACATCGTGATCAGTAAACATCAGGATTCTTGAGTAGCTGCTCCCTCTGACATCCAGCAATTCTTGGCAGGCAGGTTTTTTCAGTTGTTTATTACCTCAGCCGCGGGGCTTACATTGGACTGTTTCCACCACACTTTGCCACCACCGCGTGACACAAAGAAGTTTGCCCTTGTCACCACCGCGTGACACAAAGAAGTTTGCCCTTGTCACCACCGCGTGACACAAAGAAGTTTGTCCTTGTCACCACCGCGTGACGCTTAAAGGACTTTCCAACATTTTACCTCAGCTTTGACAAAGCCTGATCGGACATACCTCAGCTCTGCGTGAGCTTACAATGGACTGATCGGACATACCTCAGCTCTGCGTGAGCTTACAATGGACTGATCGGACATACCTCAGCTCTGCGTGAGCTTACAATGGACTGGTCGGACATACCTCAGCTCTGCGTGAGCTTACAATGGACTGATCGGACATACCTCAGCTCTGCATGAGCTTACAATGGACTGATTGGACAACGTTACCTCGGCCGAAGGCCTACAAATAGACGGATGGGTCACTGCAATGTTATTAAAAACTTCACTGCATACCTCAGTCGGTCAGTGTAATTCACACGTGACTCCCTATATGAAAAGACCTACAGTTAAACCGGTCACGGAGACATAAAACAAATAATCTGACCCCAAGCTTAGGTCGTAATAGAAAGAAAACACTTCTAGCATCACACAAACCACACCGCGAACAATAGGCACACCTTGACCAGCTGATCTTTCTGCACACAACTAATTAGGTCAATAGTTCGCAACACATTTCCTCAACTCCTCCTCATCTACTAAGAGTCGCAGTTTATTCTGCTGTCTGCTAGTCAACACATACTGTGGTCGCGACTCAGTAGGAGCGCGAAGAATAACATAAATTTCGTCTGACCACGCTTCATTGGTATCACCTTCTTCCTGTTCGAGTTTTAAATTGACTTTATCCCCGACCTGGTATCTGACAGTTTCAACGGTCTTTAAAGTAGACTGTTCATTGCTAGATAACTCAGTGCACAGTTGATTGAACAGAACTGAATTCTCGTTCTGTGTTTGATTTGGCGAATCGTCACTTGGAGCTTGTGAACTTTTCTTCCTCCGTCTCCCCCTCGTGTGTTTAGACGGCGCGTCACTCTGACTGCAAACCTGTTTATCACCGGGCCTCTCACAAGAAACTACACAAGAGAGTCCGTTTAAATCTGCCGGGGGCACGACTCGAGCGGGGCCATGTGGGCTCCTACGCCACACTTGGCGAGTTCTGTTCTGACTATAGTTAGCCGCTTCTTGCCTCTGCACATGAATAGGGTGCCGAACTTCACCGACTGGTGTTCTTCTCTGACAGGCATTCATTAAGTGGGATGACGACTGACAAATAAAACATCGCTTACGCCGTTGCTTGTGTTGTGATAAAACAGCTAAAATTTCTTTCAGGTGCTTAATCTCAGATGTTAAAAAGTCCAACTCACCCTTCACATTCGACGACACTGAAGAATTCACAGCATTCACCTGCACCGCTGACTCATTATTTAACACCACTTTCTTAAATAACAAATCATCACGAACCCATCTGATGGCAAAATCTCTGATAGATAGAAAAGTCACACTTAGGTCTTGGTAAACTTTCTCTTGTGCTAATTTTCTACAAATCGTATCTCGCAATTGTAAGATAAACTGATCTCTCAAGATCGACGTATCAAATAGCGTCATGTTCTCTTTCTTCTGTGCGGTAATTATCGCCTCAAATGCTGCATGCATACGATGAGAAAAACAACGGATCGTCTCATTCTCACCGTGCCGTAGGGAAAAAAAATCTGATGCTAGTTCAACAACGCTTCGATGCTCTCCATACACGTGTTGTATGATATCTAGCAA